GACTCCGTCTCAAAAAAAAAAAAAAAAAAAAAGAATATTTGCAATGAACTTATAATTTAGAACTTCTAAAATTTCTATAGCCAGAATAAAGGCAATTAACAGGATTAAAGCGGTGAACTTTTTCCTGCTCTTGAAAGCTGAATTCATTAGTGATGTTCTATAAAGTCTATAAATTATTTTTTAAAATGACACTTCCATTGTGTGGGTATTTTTAAGCCTATTGCTAATAGTAACTTTAAGCCATCTGATCTGGAATGTAAGCATGTTTTGTTAGAGTTAAAACAAAATGAAATCCTATTTTGCCAGTAGTTACAACTTTACCATCTCTCCCAGGGGCAGCAAAAAGAAATAGATTATTTTTAGGCAAATGTGAGGCACTATATTCTTAGATTATCATTCAGATATTCATCAAATATTCAATGAGGGTTTCTCAGTGCCAAACATTGTGTTGGAGTTGGAGATCCACTCATGAAATTAATGAGTCAGCCTCCTCCAGAATTCACAATAATTTCTCTAGTCCTTCCTTGATTAATTTTGCAATCTCCAAACTATTTGAGATATATCTGTGCATGTGTATGGATGTGTAGACTCATGAATATAAAACATTACTATAAAAAAGATAACTACTTAACATTTAACCATGATTATTGTAGGACGTGCAACACTTACTCTTAAAAAATGTAAAGTACAAGTATCTTTAAAAGCCGCATAATGTGGGATTCAACAATTCTACTTTTAGGAATTCATCTTCACAAAATGATAAAGGTTAGCAGCAAATATTTAATTACAAGGATGCTCATAGTAGAATTATTATTATTGTTATTATTATTATTTTAAGACAGGGTCTCACTCTGTTGCCCAGCTGGAGCACAGTAGTGTAATCAGAGCTCACTTGCAGCCTCGAACTCCTGGCTTTAAGCAATCTTCCCATCTCAGCCTCCTGAGTAGCTGAGACTACAGGTGCTCACCACCACTCCTGGATAATTTTTTTTTTCTTTTACAGAGGCAAGGTCTCGCTATGTTGCCCAGGCGTATTTTTTTTTAAGTGCAAGAAACATCTTAGATCAATACAGGATTGCTTACATAAATTATGTTCACACAATGGGAAACTAGGTAATATTAAAAAGGATTATGTAGAAATGTCTTCATTGATATGGAAAAAATTCCATGATATATTAGAAAGTGAAAATTAGAAGTTTCCTTGTTGCTTAGGTGTCCAGTACGAAAACAAGTCCTGACTGTGCTCTGAACCTGGGCAAGACACTTGACCTCACAGACTCAGTTCTTCCATCTGTTATGTGTGGAATTTGTGTTACCCTCAAACTCATATGCTGAAGTCCTAATCCACAGTGCCTCAGAATGCAATTGTATTTGGAGATACAGTTTTTAAAGAGGTAATTAAGTTAAAATGAGGCTATTAGGGGGCCTTAATCCAATATGGCTGATGTCCTTGTAAGAAAAGGAGATGAGTACAGGGGTAAGACCACGTATAGACACAGGGAGAAGACAGCCTTCTGCAAGGCAAGATGAGAAGCCTCAAAGGAAACCAACCCTGCCAACAACTTGATCAGAGACTTTTAGATTTCAGAACTTTCAGAAAGTAAATGTCTGTTGCTCAAGCCACCCAGTCTGTGGTAATTTGTTACAGCACTCCTAGCAAACTAATACACTATCTAGAAGAGGGAGAAAATCTTAATATTATCTTTATTTAGCTCACAAGTTTGCTGTAAGTCAAACAGATGTAATCCCTTTGTAAACTGTAAAACACTACATAAATGTGAACAATTGTTATTCACATGGTCCTTGAAAATGCAGTCATGTTGTTATGATTTGAATTTTATATTCCTTTAGTAGGGCAGACACTCAGTATCAGTACAGGAGATGGGGAGAAGCAAGAGATTTCCTAGGGCTGTAGCAAAAAACACAAATGATTTGTCTTTGAAAGAAGAGGCAAAATAAAAGGAATAGTTCCTTACATTCATGCTGCAAATTTGAAAGCAAACAGATACCTAAACTACATATAATAACAATATCTAATATGTATTAAGCATTTACTAAGTACCTAGCATAATCCCAAGTACTTTTTTTTTTTTTTGAGACGGAGTCTCGCTCTGTCGCCCAGGATGGAGTGCAGTGGCGCGATCTCGGCTCACTGCAAGCTCCGCCTCCCGGGTTCACGCCATTCTCCTGCCTCAGCCTCCCGAGTAGCTGGGACTACAGGCGCCCACAACCGCACCCGGCTAATTTTTTGTATTTTTAGTAGAGACGGGGTTTCACCGTGGTCTCGATCTCCTGACCTTGTGATCCGCCCGCCTCGGCCTCCCAAAGCACTGGGATTACAGGCGTGAGCCACCGCGCCCGGCCCCAAGTACTTTTAATATGTGTTCTTGGCCAAGTGCGGTGGCTCACGCCTGTAATCCTAGCACTTTGGGAGGCTGAGGCGGGCGGATTGCCTGAGCTCAGGAGTTCAAGACCAGTCTGGACAACATGGTGAAACCCTGTCTCTACTAAAATCCAAAAAATTAGCTGGGCATGGCCGCGTGGACCCGTAGTCCCAGCTACTCAGGAGGCTGAGGTAGAAGAATTGCTTGAACCTGGGTGGCAGAGGTTGCAGTGAGCCAAGATTGGGCCATTGCACTCCAGCCTAGGCGACAGTGAGACTCTGTCCCTCTCTAATTAAATCTCATATCATATGTTCTCTAAATCACATATCAACCCTATGGTAAAAGTGCTTGTTATGTGTATGTGTGTAGTGCACCGTGTGTGTGTATATATATATATGTTTATGTATGTGCATCTATTTTCGTTTTGTTACATGTATCTTTTTTTTTTTTTGGAGACGGGGTTCACTCTGTCGCCCAGGCTGGAGTGCAGTGGTGCAATCTTTGCTCACTGCAACCTCTGTCTCCCGGGTTCAAGCGATTCTCCTGCCTCAACCTCCCAATTAGCTGGGATTACAGGCGCCCGTCACCACACCGAGCTAATTTTTAGTAGAGATGAGGTTTTGCTGTTGGGCAGGCTGGTCTCAAACTCCTGACCTCAAGTGATCCACCCACCTTGGCCTCGCAAAGTCCTGGGAGACAAGAGCGAAACTCCGTCTCAAAAAAAAAAACAAAAAACAAAAAACAGCTCTTTTAGGATGAAATACTATATTCCTCCTAAAGTGGTTTAGATAGTCACCAAACTAAGGATACCAAATATTCTTACACTTTCAATTGCAGTGAGCCGAGATGTCACCACTGCACTCCAGCGTGGGTGACAGAGCAAGACTCCCTCTCAACAAAAAAAAAGGGGGGTGGGTTGGGAGGGGGGCTATCATTTTAACCTAGTAGATTGGCAAAGATTATTTTTTAAAAATATTTAAAAAAATTAGTTCAGTAATTTTCCCTTGAGAATTTGTTCAAGGGAAATAATGAGACTAGAGTTCAAAAACATACGTGCAAGTATATTCATTACACAATTGTTAATGGGTTTAAAAAATTCAAGTAATTTAATGTAGCAATTGACGTTTGGTCAAATTAACCAAGATATATATTCTTTCATTTAGCAATTCTGTTGGAATCTATCCCTTGGAGTAGTAAATAAAACCAACAGTTCTCAGGATGCAACATTTACAACAGCAGTTTGTAGAAGCAAAAAATGGCAAATCCACAGCACGGAGGAGGAAAAAGAAAAAAATTGCACATGGCCAGGCACGGTGCCTCACGCCTGTAATCCCAGCTCTTTGGGAGGTGGAGCCGGGCGAATCACCTGAAGTCAGGAGTTCCAGGCCAACCTGGCCAACATGGCGAAACCCTGTCTCTACCAAAACTACAAAAATTAGCTGGGTGTGGTGGCACATGCCTGTAATCCCAGCTACTCAGGAGGCTGACGCACAGGAGAATCGTTTGAACCCAGGAGGCTAAGGCTGCAGGGAGCCGAGATCACGCCACTGCACTCCAGCCTGGGCGACAAAGCGAGACTCCGTCTCAAAAAAAAAAAAAAAAAAAAAAGGCATATAATGATCATCTTTATGCATTCAGGTAAGATATTGTGTGCACATTCACGAAATAAAAATAGACTAAAGGGTGGTTTATGGAATACCATGCAGTTGTGTATGTGTATGTGTATATATATATATATGGTTGTCTGAAGATATTTTGGAACTCCAAACACCTTGACAATGACCACTGAATACCCCCATTCCACCTAAAAGCTGAATTGGAGTTACAAGATTTGGTTACCAAGGCATTTATTTGAGCATTAACTTTTATTTTGCCCTTGAAAAGCTCCTAATTCTAGTTATCTTTATCCAAGCGTAAGAGGTTCAAGACCCGACTGAAGATACAGATGCAAACTGACTAAGACAATGAGCCAGTCTCACACACCTCGGCTTTGTATTTTCAGACAACCCTTTACTTACAAACTTCTGGGCCAATGGTCTGAAAATGGTTGGGACTGAGGTGCTGGGGATACAATGATGAACAGCAGCCGCTGAAGCCCTGTCAGGTGGAGGAGGCCCGGTTACCTCAGACCCTCACTGAGCCTTTTTTTTTTTTCTTTTGAGACGCAGTCTCCCAGGCTGCATTGCAGTGCCTCACTGCAACCTACGCCTCCCGGGCTCAAGCCTTTCTCCTGCCTCAGCCTCCCGAGTAGCTGGGATTAAAGGCGGCGCCACCACGCCAGGCTAATTTTTGTATTTTTGGTAGAGACGAGGTTTCACCATGTTGGCCAGGCTGGTCTCGACTTCCTGACCTCAGGGGATACGCGAGCCTCAGCCTCCCAAAGTGCTGGGATCACAGGCACCAGCCACCGCTCCCGGCTACTGCGCCTTTTCTAAACCTTGGCTCCTACGTACTTACCAGAATAGAGAGCGCAGAGAATCTGTCTACGACTTCCAGCCAATGGCTACACTTCTTTTCTCAGCCCTCGTCCACTGTTCTATTTTAACCAATCAGAAACGTTTTTCAAACGTTTCCCCTCCCCGCTAAGTGCGCAGGCTCCTGGAAAGTTGTCTTCACTTCCGGGCCGCGGTCTAGGGCGGCTACGTGTGTTGCCATAGCGACCATTTTGCGTTAACTGGTTGGTAGCTTCCCTCCTGGGGGTTGAGCGACTGCGGGCCAGCTCTTCCCCTACTCCCTCTCGGCTCCTTGTGGCCCAAAGGCCTAAGCAGGGTCCGGCGGTCTGGCCTAGGGATATTCCCCGTTGCCCCTTTGGGGCGGGATGGCTGCGGAGGAAGAGGACGAGGTGGAGTGGATGGTGGAGAGCATCGCGGGATTCCTGCGAGGCCCAGACTGGTCCATCCCCATCTTGGACTTTGTGGAACAGAAATGTGAAGGTAAAAACCAGAGTCTGAACCGACAATCCTCTTCTCCTCTCTCACACCAGCGGCGGGCAGGGGGTTGGTAACCACAAATCATCTCTCGTCTCCCCCATCCCCTGTGTCCACCCCTGTCGTCAGGTCTTGTTCCCCTCACCCCCTTCTCCACCCCCGTCGTCAGGTTTAGAGCTGGTTATGTAGGAGCAATTCCTTTCACCCTGCCGATGTGTTCTTTCGCAGACCTGAAAATAGGGACCGAGGCTCCCCTTCCCTGGGGCCCAAGCGCACGTCCGAAGAACATTAGACTTGAATCGTAAATTCGGTCTCTCACCCTGTCCCGAACGTTTCTGCCCTGGGCAGGTGGACTGTTTGGCTGGGCTTCTTCAACAGCTTTCCCAGACTTGAGAGGAGAAGGGTCGGTTTACCTGAGTTCCTTATGATCCCTAGCATTTCGCCCGGTGTAGTCAGCTTAGGAAATGAGAAATGATTCACTCCAAACCAACAGTTAACTGCAAAGGAGGGCATGTGATAACTTCAGGAAGCCCAGAACCAGTGTTTTTTGATGGCCTGTATTCCCCTTGGTGAGCTCTACTGTTGGCTATACCAAAACTTTGCGAGGTGGGGCCGGGAACCATTCTTGGAACAAATGAGGCGTATAGATATGGCATTATATTCCCTGTGAAGGACAGACACCTCCGGGTTCTGAGCAGTTCTTCACCTTGGAGTTCTGCATTCAGTTCGTGAAGACTTTGCAGCCCATTCGCAGAAAAGGAACTAGAAAACACGTCATGTAAATGAGTGCCCAAGCGTTTTTGTGGTTGTTTAGTCGGGCAAGACTTTGAGGGTAGTAATATTCATCAGTTGTTTGAACATCTGTTTTGTGTTGTAAGGTTCAATGAAATAGAGCTAGGGTCAGTTGGTACAAGCTACAGGGAAACAAATTTCAGTGAAGGAAGTGCTTCATGACAGAATGTATCCAAGATGAGTTAGCCTGTGTCAGAAGGTAATGAGCTTCCCGGCTCCGGCAGTGTTTGAATGGATCTGATAGCGACTTAATAGGGTTAGAGGGATTCAGCTATTCAGCTATCAAATGGTCGGTTATCCTGGATGACCTTTTAAGACTTCTTTAAATTCCAAGATATCATGAATCTGGTAAAGATGAAATTCAGTTTGACCACTGAATCTTTTTATTACATTTTCATTGCTATAATCGAAATTCAAATCATAGCTATTAAAGGGTTGTTTTTACAGGTAATTTTAAAACAGTGTTCAAAAACGAAATAACTTCTATTTGTACTCTTTTTTTTTTTTTTTTTTGGGAGACGGAGTGTCGCTCTGTTGCCCAGGCTGGAGTGCAGTGGCGCGATCTTGGCTCATTGCATTGTTTTATACATATGATTATTCAGTAAACACTTGTTTTGATTTTATTTAACTTCATTATTTATCTGTGGTAACAAAAATGGACTGGTCACTTTCCATAACAATTACATCAGCAAAATTCCAGTACAATAAAATAATCTGGAACGTATTGTAAAAGGATTTAACCATTAACAATAATATTCCATTAAAAGTGATGAAGAAATTATTGCCTCATATTGATTGAAATGTGTTTTTGTCTTAAATATGAGGTATAATTCATTTTAAATATTTTCTCGAGTAGGCAAAAAAGCTGGTTTACAATTAATAGTATATATACATGTGGTGTATATATATATATTTTTTTTCTTTTCTTTTTTTTTTTTTTTTGAGGTGGAGTCTCACTCTGTCGCCCAGGCTGGAGTGCAGTGGTGCAATCTCGGCTCACTGCAACCTCCGTCTCCCGGGTTCGAGCAGTTCTCTTGCCTCAGCCTCCCAATTATCTGGGTCTACAGGTGCGCGCAACCACGCCTGGCTGATTTTTGTATTTTTAGTAGAGACAGGGTTTCATCACGTTGGCCAGGGTGGCCTTGAACTCCTGATCTTAGGTGATCCATCCACCTTGGCCTCTGAAAGTGCTGGGATTACAGGTATGAGCCATAGTGCCTGGCCAATAGTATATATTTTTAGATATATTTGTTTATATATTTTTCAAAGATAAACCCTAAGAATTCAAAGCTGAAGAGCCAGGTTATAAGAATGATAGTTCTATTTCTAAGGAATGGATTTTTAAATTTGCATTAATAAAATGATTTGTTTTTTACACTGTGTAATATCTTCTTTTAAATTTAGTTTTTGATGATGAAGAAGAAAGCAAATTGACCTATACAGAGATTCATCAGGAATACAAAGAACTAGTGAGTATTTTTTTTTCACTGATTTTTAAGGTAATTAGGCTAATATTACTTATAGCTTTTCTAAATGAAGAAAAATATTTTTACATTAAAAATCCTTAATTTTACAAAAATCCAGTCTACCTTAACAATAGTGCCAGGTATATCTGTCTCCACAGGTGCTCTGAGTATCTCATCTGGATGACTTCTTATCTCCTCTACTCTATGTAATGGTTTTACAACTCTTTATGGGTTCTTTCATGTATTCTTTATATCTTATTCTAATTTTGTTGATGCATCCAGGGACATATGATTCACTTAGTCATGGTTGTCCTGTGATTTTTTTGTTTTTTATTTTTGAGACAGGGTCTTGCTGTGTCACCCAGGCTGGAGTGCAGTGGCACTATCACAGCTCATTGTAGCCTCCACCTCCCCAGGCTCAAGTGATCCTCCCATCTCAGCCTCCGGAGTAGCTGGGACTACAGGTGTGCACCACCATACCCTGCTAATTTTTTTGTATTTTGTAGAGATGGGGTTTCTCCATGTTTCCCAGGCTGGTGTCGAACTCTAGAGCTCAAGTGATCCACCTGTCTGGGCCTCCCAAAGTGTTGGGATTACAGGCATGACCCACTGTGCCTGGCCTGTCTTGTGATTTTAAAAAATGCCTCTGGCAGTGGGGCAGGTGGATTGCTTGAGCCAAGGAGTTCGAGACAAGCCTGGGCAACATGGTGAAACTCCATCTTTATAAAAATTACAAAAATTAATCAGTCATGATGGCATGCGCCTGTAGTCCTAGCTGTTCGGGAGGCTGAAGTGGGAGGATGATCTCTTGAGCCCAGGTCACGGCTGCAGTGAGTCATTACTGTGCCATTATACTCCAGTCTGGACAACAGAATAAGACCCTGTCTCAAAAAAAGAAAAGAAAAGGCCAGGCGTGGTGGCTCATGCCTCTAATCCCAGCACTTTGGGAGGCCAGGGTGGCAAATCACCTGGGGTCAGGAATTCAAGACCAGCCTAGCCAACATGGTGAAACCCCATCTCTACTAAAAAAATAAATAAATAAAAATTAGTCGGGTATTGTGGCGGGTGCCTGTAGTCACAGCTACTCAGGAGGCTGAGGCAGGAGAACTGCTTGAGCCTGGGAGGCAGAGGTTGCAGTGAGCCGAGATCACACTACTGCACTCCAGCCTGGGTGACAGAGTGAGCCTCCATCTCAATAAAGAAAGAAAAGAAAAGGAAAAAAGAAAGGCCTCTGGGTAGCAGAAGAGTTGTGCCACACTGAACTTTGTAATCCTGACTTCAACTATTTCTGTTGGAAGAAATACAATTTCATGTGATTTTCAACAAAAATATTAACTTTTAATTTGTGTTTTGGTGAAAGACAATGTCACTGCCTTGTAATATTATGTAGATTAATATTTGCAAAAAATTTGATGATACTTTTCTAAACTCAATACTTAATATGCAAACTGTCATGTAGAATTTTTCTATGTAATTATAAAAGTTAAACTTTGTTTTTTTAGGTTGAAAAGCTGTTAGAAGGTTACCTCAAAGAAATTGGAATTAATGAAGATCAATTTCAAGAAGCATGCACTTCTCCTCTTGCAAAGACCCATACCTCACAGGTTTTTGCTTTGTGTTATTATGCTAACAAACAGTTTTAACAAATGCCCAGGGTTTCACTCAAATTTGAATGTTTGATTGACAAGCGTAATATTTTAGACATTGTGAGAGGTAGAAAGATAACTCATCACATAAGAGTTCTTTTTGAGAGCAACCCTGAAAAATGATACTTTGAGGCATTAATGAACTGATGTAACTCAAAGTGACCTTTCTAAACTCAGAACTAGAATACGATCACAGGGTTTATACAAACTACTGCTTTATTTACATAGATCTCCAATCATTCTGCAGTTGCTCCTTTTATAATTTTAGCAGATCCACAGTCAGTTGCTCCTGTGGCTTCCTTCTCTTGGAACTACTTATATTATCTTACTGGTTGTGTAGTGCTAGGCTGAAGTAGTAATACATATGTTTATAAACTAATGTTTGTTTTTGTTGTTTTTTTTGATATGGGGTCTCACTCTGTTGCTCAGGCTGGAGTGTAGTGGTGCAATTGCAGCTCATTGTAGGCTCAACCCCCCTGGGCTCAGGTAATCCTCCCACCTCAGCTTCCCTGGTAGCTGGGACTACAGGTGCCACACCAGCACACCTGGCTAATTTTTGTATTTTTTTTGTAGAGACAGGGTCTTGCTGTGTTGCCCAGGCTGGTCTTGAACTCTGGGCTCAAGGGATTTGCCCATCTTGGCCTCCCAAAGTGCTAGGATTACAGGCGTGAGCCACCACGCCCAGCCTATAAACTAATGTTTATTGAGGGCTTGTGCTAGTCGATATTTTGGGCAGTTGACATGTTTTATCTCATTTAATCTTCCTGACACCTCTTAAGAAACTGGTACTGTATAACTTCCATTTAGAAATGAAGAAACCAGGCCGGGCATGGTGGCTCACGCCTGTAATCCCAGCACTTCGGGAGGCTGAGGCAGGTGGATCACTTAAGGCCAGGAGTTTGAGACTAGCCTGACCAACATGGAGAAACCCCGTCTCTACTAAAAATACAAAATTAGCCGGGCGTGGTGGCGCATGCCTGTAATCCCAGCTACTCGGGAGGCTGAGGCAGGAGAATCGCTTGAAACTGGGAGGCAGAGGTTGTGGTGAGCTGAGATTGCGCCATTGCACTCCAGCCTGGGCAACGAGAACAAAACTATCTTAAAAAAAAAAAGAAAAAGTAAAAGAAGAGAGGAAACCAAAGCACAGAGATATTAAGCAAATAGTCCAAAGTCCACAGCTAAATAAGTAGTAGAGCCGGTATCCCCAGTCCAGGCAAGCCAACTGAGTGTCCTTGCTTAGAGAGTGAGGATTGGGATGTTGCTACTACCCAAGTAGCCTTCTGCTCAAAAACTGAAAGCCAGGAAGTGGCTCATGCCTATAATTCCAGCACTTTGGGAGACCAAGACAGGAGGATTGCTTGAGGCCAGGGGTTTGAAACCAGCCTGGGCAACATAGTGAGACCCCATCTTTAAAAAATATATGAAAGTTAGCCTGTTGTAGGTCGTGGTGGTGTTCTCCCAGAGTACCCCTACTCAGGAGGCTGAAGTAGGAGCATCACTTGAGCCTAGGAGGTTGAAGCTGCAGTAAGACAAGATCATGCCACTGTACTCCAGCCTAGACAACAGATTAAGACCCACCCCCAAAGAACAAAACACTGGCTTTGGCATCTCATTTTCTACCAAATAAACAGTAATTTCTTGCAATATATGGTAAGAATTGTTTAAGATGAGACTCCACATTATATTTTTAGCCATGATCCCTTGCTATAGTTCTCCAATATATTATTTTCTACTGCCATTCCAGGTAACTTTCTCTTTTTTTTTTTTTTTTTTCTTTTGAGACGGAGTTTCGCTCTTGTTGCTCAGGCTGGAGTACAATGTCGCAATCTCAGCTCACTGCAACCTCTGCCTCCCAGGTTCAAGTAATTCTCCTGCCTCAGCCTCCCAAGTAGCTGGGATTACAGGCTCCTACCACCATGCCCGGCTAATTTTTTGTATTTTTAGTAGAGGCAGGGTTTCACTATGTTGGCCAAGCTGGTCTCAAACTCCTGACCTCAGGCGATCCACCTGCCTCGACCTCCCAAAGTGCTGGGATTACAAGCGTGAGCCACCGTGCCCAGCAGCCACTTGCTCTTATAAGCATCTGTGCACCTACCTTTGCTCATGCTGTCCCTTAACCTGGAATATATGGCCCCTTCCCCAGACCACTCCATCATTCCTTTCATAATGTGAAGAAATCCTCATTATCAGGGACTGGTTGAAATGCTACTTGTTATAGCAGCTTTGCTGCTTATTCTAGTCAGACCAGAATTCATTCTACTTAACTAGGCCAATTTTAAATTGATATTTTTGTTACTCTGCCTTGAATTATAGTTTCCTACAAGTCTACTTGCCCTACTAAATTGTAAGTCCTTTGAGCTGTTTTTAGTATCTCTGCACTCTCTGCTGGTAGAACAGAGATGAAAACTTAGTTCTTAGTTCATAGTTCTCAATAAATGTTTATTAATTTAAATTATCTTGTTATGATGGCCTAGATGAGGTTGCTTTGACTACTTTTTAATCCAGCACTTCCTCTTTTGCACAACTTTTCATTTGATGATCACCTTTAATTCTAGGAATAGAAAATATTTTTTGTTTGTTTTTGTTTTTGAGACAGGGTCTTTCTCTGCCACCCTGGCTGGACTGCAGTGGTGCAGTCATAGTTCTATGCAACCTCTAACTCCTGGGTTCAAGTGAATCGCCTGCCTCAGCCTCCTGAGTAGCTAGGACTATAGCTGTGTACCATTATGCCTGGCTAATTTTTCAGTTTTTTTGTAGAGAGGGGGTCATTCTGTGTTGTCCAGGCTGGTCTTGAGCTCCTGGCATCAAGCAATCCTCCTGCCTCAGCCTCCCAAAGCTCTGGGGTTACAGGTATGAGCCACTATATTTTGGCTGGGTGTGATAGCTCCTACCTGTAATCCCAGTACTTCGGGAGGCTGAGGCAGGAGGATTGCTTTAGGCCAGGGGCTCAATACCAGCCTAGGCCACAGTGCAAGACCCCATCTCTACAAAAAATAAAAATATAAGAATTAGCTCGGCATGGTGACACACTGCTGTAGCCCTAGCTACTTGGGAGACTGAAGTGGGAGGATTGCTTGAGCCTAAGAATTTGAGGCTGCAGTGAGGTATGACTGTACCACTGTACTCCAGCCTGGGCTGCAGAGTGAGACCCTGTCTCTAAAAAAATAATAATAAAAAATAATTAAAATGTTTTTGGTATGCCCGCATTAATGTGAAAAAATCTGGCAGTTTCCAAGAAGACATAACAATCTTTAATGTGTATGCACCTAATAACAAAGCAACAAAATGTGTGAGGCAGAAACGGAACTGCAAGGAGAAATAGATGAATACATGATTATAGTTGGAGACTTCAACACCCTCTATCAGTATTGTACAGATCCAATCATTAGGAAATCAGTAAAGACATAGTTGAACTAAACAGCGCCTTCAGGCCAGGCATGGTGGCTCATGCCTGTAATCCCAGAACTTTGGGAGGCCGAGGTGGGTGGATCACTTGAGGTCAGGAGTTCAAGACCAGTCTGGCCAACATGGTGAAACCCCATCTCTAATAAAAACACAAAAATTAGCCGGGGGTGGTGGTGGGCACCTGTAATCCCAGCTACTTGAGACTGAGGCAGGAGAATCGCTTGAACCTGGGAGGTGGAGGTTGTGGTAAGCTGAGATTGCGCCACTGCACTCCAACCTGGGTGACAGAGCAAGACTCCATCTCAAAATAAATAAATAAATAAATAAATAAGCAAACAAAAGCACCTTCAGTCAACTGAATTTAATTGACATACACCAATTCATCCAACAATCAAAAATACACATTCTTCTCAAGATCACAGAGAATGTTCATCAAGACAGACTACATCATGAGCCATAAAACATACCTTAACAAATTTAAAAGAAGAGAAATCATACAGTGTCTGCTCTCAGACCACAACATAATTAAACTGGAAATAAATAACTGTTGGAAAAAACCAAAATACTTGGAGATTAAACAACACACTCTAAAACTAAACACATGTGAGCCAGGCATGGTGGCTCATGCCTATAATTCCAGCACTTAGGAAGACCAAAGTGGGCAGATTGCTTGAGCCCAGGAGTTTGAGACAATACTGGGCAACATGGTGAAACTCCATCCCTATAAAATACAAAAAAATTAGAAAAGCATTAGAAAGGCATTGAAAGGTACACACCTTCCACCATGTTGACCAGGCTGGTCTCAAACTGCTGACCTCAGGTCTGCCCACCTCAGCCTCCTAAAGTGCTGGGATTACAAGCATGAGCTACTGTGCCTGGCCACAATTTTTGTTTTAAAGAATTATGAGGAATTATATAATTATACTATATATAAAATATATAATCAGAATAATCATAAAGTATTATATTTTATAGAATTATAAAAAAATGCCCCTCTTTATTCCTGATCATCTTTCTTGTTCTGAGGTCTACTTTATCTGAAATTAAATTAAGCTACTTCAGCTTTCTTTTTTTTTAAACAACTTTATTGAGATATAATTTGCATATCATATTAATCTTTTTTAAAACTTTTTTTTTTTTTTGAGAAGGAGTCTTGCTCTGTCACCCAGGCTGAAGTGCAGAGGTGCGATCTTGGCTCACTGCAACCTCTGTCTCCTGGTTCAAATGATTCTCCGGTCTCAACCTCCTGAGTAGCTGGGACTACAGGTGTGCACCACCACACTCTGCTAATTTTTTTATTTTTTTTTTAGTGGAGACGGGTTTCACTATGTTGGCCAGGCTAATCTTAAACTCCTGACCTCAAGTGTTCTGCCTGCCTCGGCCTCCTAAAGTGTTGGGATTACAGGTGTGAGCCACTGTGCCCAGCCGAGAACCCTGTTTTAAAGGCTATTAAAATACATTTTAAAATTGTCCTTTTGAGACATCTAATCAGAAATAACAATGTAGCATTCTTGAATTAATCTACTGTTTTGCAGTAGAAATGGTCTGAATGTGTGGGAAATAGTTTTAAAACTTGAATCTTCATTTCACTTGAGACTTCTTTCCACAGGCCATTTTGCAACCTGTGTTGGCAGCAGAAGATTTTACTATCTTTAAAGCAATGATGGTCCAGAAAAACATTGAAATGCAGCTGCAAGCCATTCGAATAATTCAAGAGAGAAATGGTAAAATGTTGAAGTTAGAAATCTAAGTGCTAAATGCTTTTTAAAATAGTTTTGACTAATTCTAATGTAGTCTTAAATGTAGCTGTCTCGTGTACATTTATTTCAAGTTTGAAAGTCTTCAGCTGACTTGAGATTTCAGAGTATATGGCTGGGCACAGTGGCTCACACCTGTAATCCCAGCACTTTGGGAGGCTGAGGCGGGTGGATCACGAGGTCAGGAGATCGAGACCATCCTGGCTAACACGGTGAAACCCCGTCTCTACTAAAAATACAAAAAAATTAGCTGGGCGTGGTGGTGGGCACCTATAATCCCAGCTACTCGGGAGGCTGAGGCAGGAGAATGGCGTGAACCTGGGAGGCGGAGCTTGCAGTGAGCAGAGATCACGTCACTGCACTCAGCCTGGGCGACAGAGTGAAACTCCGTCTCAAAAAAAAAAAAGTATAAACTTCCTGATTTGTATTTGACATCTCAAAAAAAGGAGACCAGAATTCAGTGATACTTTGGATTTCACAGAGTTCAATTTTCTGCCCAGCAATTATGTTTATGAAACTGAGTATTTTTGAATGGTTGTAGTTGTAGTTACTGTTGAGAGGTGTCCATCCTTTTTCTGACTCATGATTGTTAGGACCTTGGTAGGAAGCAGTGGTTCTTTTTTTTTTTTTTGAGACGGAGTCTGGCTCTGTCGCCCAGGCTGGAGTGCAGTGGCCGGATCTCAGCTCACTGCAAGCTCCGCCTCCCGGGTTTACACCATTCTCCTGCCTCAGCCTCCCGAGTAGCTGGGACTACAGGCGCCCGCCACCTCGCCCGGCTAGTTTTTTGTATTTTTAGTAGAGACGGGGTTTCACTGTGTTAGCCAGGATGGTCTCGATCTCCTGACCTCGTGATCCGCCCGTCTCGGCCTCCCAAAGTGCTGGGATTACAGGCTTGAGCCACCGCACCCGGCTTTTTTTTTTTTTTTTTTTTTTTTTGAGACGGGGTCTCGCTCTGTCGCTCAGACTGGAGTGCAGTGGCGCGATCTCGGCTCACTGCACGTTCTGCCTCCCGGGTTTACACCATTCTGCCTCAGCCTCCCAAGTAGCTGGGACTACAGGTGCCCGCCACCACTCTTGGCTAATTTTTTGTATTTTTAGTAGAGATGGGGTTTCACCGTGTTAGCCAGGATGGGTCTCGATCTCTTGACCTCGTGATCTGCCCACCTAGGCCTCCCAAAGTGGCCGGAAGCAGTGATTCTTAAGCGTTAGCAAGCATTGGAAATGTTTGGAGGACTGCTGAAGCACATATAGCTGCCTCCCAGTTTCTGATTTAATAGGTCTGGGGTACCGACAGTTTGTATTTTTTTTTTTTTTTTTTTTTGAGATGGAGTCTCGCTCTGTCGCCCAGGCTGGAGTGCAGTGGCCAGATCTCAGCTCACTGCAAGCTCCGCCTCCCGGGTTTACGCCATTCTCCTGCCTCAGCCTCCCGAGTAGCTGGGACTACAGGCGCCCACCACCTCGCCCGGCTGGTTTTTTGTATTTTTTAGTAGAGACGGGGTTTCACCGGGTTAGCCAGGATGGTCTCGATCTCCTGACCTCATGATTCGCCCGTCTCGGCCTCCCAAAGTGCTGGGATTACAGGCTTGAGCCACTGCGCCCGGCCGATAGTTTGTATTTTTAACAATGATATGGTTTGGCTGTTTCCCCACCCATATCTCATCTTGAATTCCCACGTGTTGTGGGAGGGACCCAGTGGGAGGTAATTGAATTTTGGGGGCAGGTCTTTCCATGCTGTTCTTGTGATAGTAAATAAACCTCATGAGATCTGATGGTTTTGGGAAACGGGAGTTTTCCTGCACAAGCTCTCTCTTTGCCTGCTGCCATCCATATAAGACGTGGTTGCTCCACTTTATCTTCCCCCGTGATTGTGAGGCTTCCCCAGCCATGTGGAAATGTAAGTCCCATTAAACTTCTTTCCTGTGTAAATTGCCCAGTCTCAGGTATGTCTTTATTGGCAGCATGAAAATGGACTAACACAAACAAGTTCCCAGGTGATGCTGAAGCTGCTGGTCCTGGGACCACACCAACACTCACTGTTCTAGGGCACTGGGCAGAGACAGATAAGCTTGTACCAGCATCATGTGGAAGAGAAAATGGAATTCAAAGCCCTATTAACCCTCGTTGGCTTTATCTTTCCCCTGACTCTGTGCTTAAGTTCACTTTCTCTCTAGCTCTTCCTGCTCTTGTTCCCTTATTGTGTACCTGAGCTACATTTAACATCCGGACTCAAAACAGCTGAGTTTCTAACCATGCTACTTGTTATTGTGCCATCTCCTTTCTAACCCAGATTATCATGTCTGTTTCACATTTCTTGCTGTGGTAACCTCACCTTAATTTCTATGTCTTCCTTAGCTCGATAGATTGCCATGATATTTTTTTACCATGGCCCCATAACCTCTTTAATGGTTTGGCAGCAGGACCTTTCCTTTGATTGTTTCTTGAAGATACGAGATCTATAGTTCAGTTGTATCATTGGCTCTTAAGGGCCTGGAACATGCAACAATAGGGCTTCCATTGTTGCATGGCAAACATGAGAATTTTGCAGGGCCCTTCTTGGGAAGTTTCCTCCTCATTTGACTGATGTGAGTAGAGACTATTAGAGCCAGCCGCCATCATAATCATCTACTAGAATCCCAAGATGCTTTCCCTAGCAGCTAATAGCACTGTTGTCTGTGGGTAGGGGAAGAACACCACCCTAACCCTGAAGAATGCATGACACAGTGCTATTACTTTGATGTAAATAAGTTTGGAAAATAGTCTCTTTCTACTATGGTTTGCTCTATAAAATCCTTTCCTCTGAATTTTCCTGAAACTATGCTTTATTCTGACTTATGGGTTAGATAATTTTAATAAGAATGTTAGTAAACAAATTTTTTTAGGAGATCAGGAAAAGAAATGGTGAACTTGACAATAGCATTCTTTAGTTTTCAGTTTGGAATTTTATTGGAAACTCATCTAGATTTTAATAAAAAGGGAATAAATACATATCTTGTATCATGCGGATGCCTCAGGCTGTCAGTAACAGAACACTCCAGTGAAGAAAAGATCTCCCAGAACAAGAAGTCCAGAGGAAGGGAGAGAAGGAAGACAGGTTCGGGGTTGGTTAATTTAGTGGCTCCGTGATGTAATCAAGGACCCCGACACTTTGCATCTTTATACTCTGCCATTCTCAGGATCTTCTCTCATGATTGTACTCTGGCTGTATTGAATGCAGACTCAACAATGTCTTATGAAGAAATGGAATATTTCCTCCTCTACATCTCTTTTTGTTAGCAAGACAACAATTTCATGGAAGCCCTCCAGTTTTTCCCTCAAGTCCTATTGATTAGGATGGGGGTCACTTGCCTTTCTTAAACCATCTGGCAAGGGGAATGGGACCATTATGATTGGCTTGAACCAATTAGGAGTCACTTTCCTGGGATGGGGGAGAGCCCTGCCTCTAAGTAGTTAGCTGCCTGATAATTCTGCAAAAGCTGACTCCTATTAGCAAGGAAGGAGGAGGGGAATTATGTAGAATAATGACTGTTGTCAGGCCACAGCATGGGGCATTTTACTTACATTTAAACATAAGCCAGTACTTAGTTTCTGCTACAGAATTTCTAATACATGTACTTAAGAGTTTTGCTGGCTGGGCACGGTGGCTCATGCCTATGGTCCCAGTGCTTTCAGAGGCTGAAGCAAGAGGATCGCTTAAGCCCAAAAGTTTGAGACTGCAGTGAGCTATGATAGCACCACTGCATGCCAGCGTGGGCAACAGAGCAAGACCCTGTCTCAAAACTAAAAAAAAAAAAAAGAATGTTGCCTAACTAAGATCCAGGGTTGGATACCTTAGATTAATGTCGATTATACTCAAAACTGCAGACTAATTTGAAAATAGTTCTAATGATGAGAAAAATTCAAAGGCTCTCTGGATTCTTTTTATCTTTTTGGTATCTCATTAAATAATTTAGAGAAATTGCAAATGAGAGTATTATTTTGATGGTTTCTAACTACTTCATACTGTTGTGTTATTCTTAGTACTTTGAGTTTTCCTCAGAAATATTATTAGGAGAATAATAGTTTTATATCTTTTGACTGAGCAAAAATGCACTTAAGATTAATGGATTATTTAAGTCAGTTTTCTGGTTGTGATATTGTACTACTATAGTTTTGTTAGATGTTACCACTTGGGGAAACTGGGTAAACAGTAAGTACATGGCAGCCTTCTGCTTTATTTCTTACAATTGCACTTACCTCAGAATAAAACATTTAATTTTTAAAAATGTGTTTAAACATCAGGAGGATTAGAGTAATAAAGCTACTTCAGAGTGGATCCAAAATCCTACAGTCATATGTGGATAAAGAAATGGAAGATAAAAATTAAGAAGCATTCTGCTAATGTCGTGGAATGTAATAATTATAGATGCAAACAGAACAATTATTACCAGTCCACCTGCTTCGAAGGAAGATAAAAGTAATGAAGTAAATTAAACCAATATTTTAAGTTACCTTTTATTTTCTTGGGCTGAAGTTGCTACTTCCCTGGTTTATAATTATTAGACCAACATCTGAACAGAAGCTTCAAGGGCAGAGATTGTTTTATTCATCTTTGTATCCCCCCAAAGTGCTTAGCACCATGGTTTTATTACACATAGTAAGCAGAGCCCTTTTCAATAGCATCTGTTATAATATAAATGAAGACTTCTAATGCTATTTCAATTAACAAAATTATATTTTGTTTTGTGACTCTTCTCATTTAAGGGACACCTTTGAGAGCAGTTTCATTATTAAGCCTAACTCAATGATTTCCATAGTATATTCTTAGACACTATATGATTATGGAAGAGAAAAACATATTAACTTTTTGTTGCCATACATTGTTACTTTTAACTGCCAATAAAATAATTACTAAGAGATATTTCTAGTTAAAAGTGTGGGGTTTTTGGTGGGGCTTATTCTGTAAAATAGGAAAAGGCTTAAAAGATGATAGTTAAAAATGGCTGGGAGTGGGCCAGGCGTGGTAGCGCACTCCTGTAATCCCAACACTTTGGGAGGCCGAGGCGGGCGGATCACGAGGTCAGGAGATCGAGACCATCCTGGCTAACATGGTGAAACCCCATCTCTACTAAAAATACAAAAAATTAGGAGGGCATGGTGGTGGGCGCCTGTAATCCCAGCTACTTGGGAGGCTGTGGCAGGAGAATGGTGTGAACCTGGGAGGCAGAGCTTGCAGTGAGCGGAGATCATGTCACTGCACTCCAGCCTGGGCGACAGAGCAAGACTCCGTCTCAAAAAAAAAAAAAAAATGGCTGGGAGCAGTGGCTCATGCCTGTAATCCCAGCACTTTGGTAGGCCGAGGGGGCAGATGACTTGAGGTCAGGAGTTCGAGACCAGCCTGCCAACATGGTGAAACCCCATCTCTACTAAAAATTAGCCAGGCATGGTGGCGGGCAGCTGTAATCCCAGCTACTCCGGAGGCTGAGGCAGGAAAATCGCTTGAACCCGGGAGGCAGAGGTTGCAGTGAGCCCAGATTGTGCCACTGCACTCCAGCCTGGGCGACAGAAAGAGACTCTGTTTTTTTATATTTATTCAAAATAAATGAATAAATATAAAATGGATGATAGTTAAAAAGATAATAGCTTAGGATGTTACAGTGATAGATCTAAAGGTAACTTGTACTTAAGGAACTAGAACAGTGAGAAATATATGTTTTCAATTGAGTTGATACTATTCCATGTGGTCTTTGGTTTTGAACAGGTGTATTACCTGACTGCTTAACCGATGGCTCTGATGTGGTCAGTGACCTTGAACAGGAAGAGATGAAAATCCTGAGGGAAGTTCTTAGGTACCATTCTTCAATTATTTTTAAAATGAATCATTATTATATGATCTGTACATAAGCTTTTTGCCCAATAAATATGAACTAATAAAATTGCTAAATTCTCTACTGAAGACTATCAAAATGATTTATCATTTTATGACTGTGAATATATTTCTTAATGACAGAAAAAGGCATTTTCAGGTAACTTATACCAGATCAGCCCAAATGAGAGGGTCTTTTTACACCCCCATCATAGGAATAGGAAAGTAGCCACCAGTGGGAAAAAGTTGCGGTAGACCTAGCCTGATCTCTGGAGAGAGGTGTAATGACTTGAGCTAAACAGCTTACTCCATGGCTTCTGGATCTCACTATGGAGGTGGCATATTCTAGGTGTCACATAGTAGGAGGCTGGGCATCCAGACTCCACAGACTGAATAGCTGACTTGGTGATAGTAACCTTCAAGAGAGGGAGAACAGTGAGAGGGGTCTATCCCAGATGAGTATCTTGCTGGTCTCTTTGTTTCCCCAGTTACATGATTCTCAGCCAAATGCCTGACAAGGAGTATGCAGACCACTAAGGGGGTCCACACACAACTAAGAAATGTTAATGGACATTTCTTTTTCTTTTGGGCCTGTTGTGCCCTGACCTTTATGGGAATTTTGGAAGGAAGGAGCAGTAGTAGCTCCTAATTTTTAAATCTCCTGTGAGAATGTGTTAGGTTTAGGGCAAAAGGATGCCTATAATCACAGTGTCACCTGCAGACTATGGCCTTGGCCTTTGGGGTCACTTCTTCTCCAACTCTACTACCACACATGACCATCTTCTAGCACCCTGCAGTTCCCCCCACTTAGGTACTTTGTCCCACCTCCGAAGCAGAAGAGAGGATCCACCGATGGGCCTGGTGGGAAACTATGGCAGGAGCTCCAGGACACAGTGCTTAATTTCAGGGGGTTTGAGTGATTATGGAGAGGGTGGCAGATATGCAGGTGAACTCAACCCTTTCTTGCCAGATCCCTCTTTGGATGGCAGGGGCAAATGGGAGCCTGAGACAACACAGAATGCTTTGAGTTTACAGGTTTGAGAGGTAAGGGTGTTTGGTTCAGAGGACTGGTAACGTTTTGATTTGGACTGGTTGTGTTGGTTGATTGGTGGCCTGAAAACTGGTCAGCACTGTATTTTCAGATTTTATTTTCCAAGAGCTTTTGAGGGTATATACCACTGTGTAAGTAATAGAACTTAGTTATGAACATGTATAACAGTTGAACTTGGTTACTTTCCAAAATCAGACTGTCTCAGCAGTTTACAAAAGTTGATGGGCTCAGATGATAGCTCAGATGCCACTGGAACAATGACATTTTATCGAGAGGGGTGTACTGGCTCTTATCAAGAGGGGTGTAATTGATCACTCGAAAGAGGGAGATTGAAGTCCTTATTAATGAGATTTGCCATTCAAATTTGGGTTCAGGATTTCAAATCTGTTGATCTTTGTTCAGCTAGGGTTCATTCAGAGTTCTAGAAGGAATGGGTAGACCTGTATTTTATGTTACTAACTGTATTATGCTGTATGCCTATGTATGTCTTTCCCAGTTGACTATAAGCCACTTTAGAGCAAAGTTTGATTATCTTCCATCTTTGTGTCTAATGTGCCTTTTATTGTAAGCTTAGGTTAGCATGTTGCTTAGTTGAATATTTGTTCTTTGACCAAAAAAGGAAATTTATCTTTTTACTTTATTTTTGTGTATTTCAGAAAATCAAAAGAGGAATATGACCAGGAAGAAGAAAGGAAGAGGAAGAAACAGGTGCCTAAAGAACATATAACAGAAGTATTTTATTGCTATTATCTCTTATTAAATTTACACCTAGTTCTTACTATTAAAATTTATACTTATGTGGAACTACATAATTTTAAGTACAATGTAAATATTGACTAATAATATTAATATATCAATAATTCTATGTACTTTGTGCATTACTGCTAGCCACCATGAATATTATATAGTACTGTATATACTTAACTGTACATAGTACATACAAAGACAACACAGTACTAATTAATCTTACAGGACATGCATATAAGCAAGAGTAGTCATTTTTTTTGGCAAGTTTAAGCATTTGTATTTAACTTTTTATACTTTTTTCCCCTTTATTTTTGTCCTGGTAACTCACAGAACAACATTTTTTATTTTTTCTTCTTGAGACAGAGTCTCGTTCTGTCACCCAGGCTTTAGTGCAGTGGTATGATCTTGGCTTATTGCAACCTCCACCTCCTGGGTTCAAGTGACTTTCCTGCCTCAGCCTCCAGAGTAGCTGGGATTACAGGCGCATGCCATCACGCCTGGCTAATTTTTGTATATTTAGTAGAGACAGGGTTTTACCACGTTGGTCAGACTGGTCTTGAACTCCTGACCTTGTGATCTGCCTGCCTTGGCCTCCCAAAATGCTGGGATTACAGGCATGAGCCACCATGCTCGGCCAGAACAACCTTTTATACATTTTTTCTTTTTTTTTGGAGACATAGTCTCACTCTGTCACCTGGGCTGGAGTGCAGTGGCACAGTCTCGGCTCACTGCAACCTCTGCCTCCTGGGTTCAAGTGATTCTTCTGCCTCAGCCTCCCAAGTAGGTGGGATTACAGGCATGCACCACCACGCCCAGCTGATTTTTTTGTATTTTCAGTAGAGACGGGGTTTTACCATGTCATCCAACCTAGTCTTGAACTCCTGACCTCATGTGATCCACCTGCCTCAGCCTCCCAAAGTGTTGGGACTATAGGCGTGAGCCACTGTGCCTGGCCAACTTTTTATACTTCCTAATATAGAAAGTATATACCCTTTTTTTTTTTTTGAGACTGAGTCTTGTCATATTGCCCAGGCTAGAGTGTAGTGATGCGATCTCAGCTCACTGCAACCTCTGCCTCCTGGGCTCAAGCAATTCTTGTGCCTCAGCCTCCCAAGTAGCTGGGATTATAGGTGTCTGCCACCACTCCTGCCTAATTTTTGTACTGTTATTAGAGACAGGTTTTCACCATGTTGACCAGGCTGGCCTTGAACTCCTGACCACAGGTGATCTGCTGGCCTTGGCCTCCCAAAATGCTGGGATTACAGACATGAGCCACTGTGCCTGGCCGAAAGTATATACTTTCTTATAAGAGTGTATACTTTATAAAGAGGCCAGACATGATGGCTCACTCCTGTAATCCCAGCACTTTGAGAGGCCGAAGTGGGTGGATCACTTGAGGCCAGAAATTCGAGACCAGCAACATGGCAAAACCCCATGTCTACTAAAAATACAACAGTTAGCCGAGCATTGTAGTGCACACCTGTAATCCCAGCTACTCAGGTGGCTCAGGCATGAGAATCATTTAAATCCAGGAGCCAGAGGTTGCAGTGAGCCGAGATCGCACTACTGCACTCCAGTCTGGGTGACAGAGTGAGACTCTGTCTCAAAAGAAAAAGAAAAAGAAAACTATAATATCTTTGGATCCTTTAGGTAGTGAATTAGTTAAAATGAATCTAAATTGTGTGTGTTTTTTTTTAACTGTATTATGGAATCCTGAAGTTATCAGAGGCTAAAACAGAAGAGCCCACAGTGCATTCCAGTGAAGCTGCAATAATGAATAATTCCCAAGGGGATGTTGAACATTTTACACACCCACCCTCAGGTAAGATTGAGGTGTACTGAACTTTCTCTAATAATGTGAATACATAAACACCATATAGAATGTGCCACCTTCTCATACTTATTTAACTTCAAAAGCCCTGGGAGGGAGTATTGAACGTCTTTGGTATTTAACGTTCTTTGTGAATTTGGTTAAAGAGGTTGCAGATGAGATGCTGACCTGAAAGAGAGTGTGTAGTCCCCAAGTTTCCACGTGAAGTCTGAAACCCAGAGTAGAGAGCAAAACTCCTTGAGGGAGTACCTGGCCTTTGTGCACGGCTGCAGCTTACAAGAGAGGTTCACATAACATTTGGTATTCTCTTCCATGCTCACAGTTGTATGGTATTTGAGAGTGAGAAGCTGAACTTGAAAAGATAATATCAAATTTCTTTTCTAATGAATTAAGTACAGCTAGAAAATAAGAGGTAGCCATTTTGTTCAGATATTTGGTCAGAAATCATATCTTTGAAACCAAAATTGATAGGAATCCTTGTAAGAAATATTAGTGGATGACCTTTTCAACATGTGGCAAATCTATTTTCAATATGAACTGATTTTCTATATAAGAAAACAAGTAATTCTGAAACAGAAGTTATGGTCATGAATTCAGTTCATTTTATTATGGATTCCTGTGGTTTTAAATAAACGTCCTTTTCTCAGTTAAAAAAATATAACTCTGTGAGGTAGATATTATAATCCTTTTTTTTTATTTATTTATTTATTTATTTTTTGAGACGGAGTTTTGCTGTTGTTGCCCAGGCTAGAGTGCAATGACGTGATCTCGGCTCACCGCAATCTCCACCTCCCGGGTTCAAGCGATTCTCCTGCCTCAGCCTCCCGAGTAGCTGGAATTACAGGCATGTGCCACCACGCCCAGCTAATTTTATATTTTTAGTAGAGACGGGGTCTCCATGTTGGTCAGGCTGGTCTCGAACTCCCAACCTCAGGGGATCCGCTTGCCTCAGCCTCCCAAAGTGCTGGGATTACAGGCATGAGCCACTGTGCCTGGCTACTCTTATCTTCCTTTAAAAAATTATTTTTGTTGGGTGTTGCTGAGTTGCCCAGGCTGTTCTCAAACTCCTAGCCTGAAGTGATCCTCCTGCCTCAGCTTCCCAAAGCGCTGGGATTACAGGCATAAGCCACTGTACCCATCCCTTCTTTTTTTTAAAGAAATTCAAGGAAGCTGAGTGACTTGTCCAACCAAGATCACCGAACTCTTCAGTGGTGAAATTATGGCTTACCTTTGTCTTCTGACACCAAATATATTCTTCTAAACCTTAGTTGAGAAGAACTTCTATAATTGAGATTAGTGTGATGTTTACCCATTAATTTTTTAATGGAAGTTGGAGAACAACTTTCTTTTTTTAATATGCTTAATTTAAGCTGTTTTAGGTTCACAGTAAAATTGAGCAGAAGGTGCCGAGATTTCCCCCATATAGTCCCTGCCCCAGTACATGACTAGCATCTCCCATTTTTGACCCCCTCGAAAGTAGTACATTTCTTATGTTGGTGAACTTTCCTTGACACAACATTACCAACCAAAGAGCATAGTTTACATTAGGGTTCACTCTTGGTATTATATATTCTGTGGGTTTTGACAAATGTATGATGACATGCATTCACCATTATAGTATCATGTAGTATATGGTTTCACTGCCCTAAAAATTCTCTGTGCTCTGCCTATTCATCCTTCCCACCTCCTAACCCGTGGCAACCACTGATCTTTTACTGTTTTCAGAGTTTTGCCTTTTCTAGAATGTCATGTAGTTGAAATCATACAGTAGTACGTAGCCTTTTCAGATTGGCTTCTTTCACTTAGTAATAATCCATTTAAGATTTCTCCATGTCTTGTCATGGCTTGGTAGCTCATTTCTTTTTAGTGCTGAATAATATTCCATTGTCTGGATGTGTCATGGCTTGTTTATTCATTTATCTGCTGAAGAATATCTTGGTTGCTTCCAAGTTTTGACAATTATGAATAAAGCTGCTATAAACATCCATGTGCAGGTTTTTGTGTGGACATAGCTTTCAGCTCCTTTGCATAAATACCAACGAGCATGATTGTTATATCTTACAGTAAGAGTATGTTTAGTTTTGTAAGAAACTGCCAAACTGTCTTCCAAAGCGGCTATACCATTTTGCATTTCCACAGCAGCGAATGAGAGTTCTTGTTGCATCCTTGCCAGCATTTGGTGTTGTCAGTGTTCTAGATTTGGACTATTCTAGTAGGTGTGTAGTGCTATCTCATTGATGTTTTATTTGCATTTCCCTGATGACATGATGTGGGGCATATTTTCATATGCTTGTTTGCCATCTGTGTATCTTCTTTGGTGATGTGTCTGTTGAGGTCTTTGGCCCATTATATTTGTTGGGTTGTTTGTTTTCTTATTGTTAATCGGGTTCATTTTCTTATTGTTGAATTTTAAGTGTTTGTATATCTTGAATAACAGTCCTTTATCAGATTTTGTCTTCTGAAAATATTTTCTTCCAGTCTGTGGCTTGTCTTCTCATCCTCTTGATACTGTCTTTTATATAGCAGAAATGTTAATGAAGTTCAGCTTATTAATTATGTCTTTCATAGGGTGTGCCTTTGGTGTTGTATCAAAAAAGTCATCATCATACCTAAGGTCACCTAAATTTTCTCGTATGCAATCTTCTAGGATTTTTACAGTTTTACATTTTACATTTAGGTCTGTAATCTATTTTGAATTATTTTTTGTGAAGGGTGTGAAGTTTGTGTCTAGATTCATATTTTTTCTTTCAGATGTCCAGTTTCCTTTCGTCATCGTATTGCCTTTGCTCCTTTGTCAAAGATAATTGATTATATTTATGTGAGTTTATTTCTGGGCTCTCTATTATGTTCCATTGATCTATTTCTCCATTCTTTTGCAAATACCACTTTGTCTTGATTACTATAGTTTGAAGTCTTCAAGTTGGGTAGTGTCAGTCCTCCAATTTTGTTCTTCAATATTGTGTTGGCTATTCTGGGTCTTTTGCCTCTCCATATAAATGTTAGAATCTGTTTGTCAATATCCATAAAATAACTTGCCGAAATTTTGATTGATATTGTGTTGAATCTGTAGATCATGTTGGGAAGAACTGACATCTTGACATTGAGTTTTCCTGTCCACAAACATGGAATAGGCCAGGCATGGTGGCTCATGCCTGTAATCCTAGCATTTTGGGAGGCCAAGGCGGGAAGACTGTTTGAGCTCAGGAGTTCAAAACCAGCTTGGGCAATTTGGCGAAACCCTGACTCTACAAAAAAAATACAAAAATTAGCCAGGCATGGTGGTGCATGCCTGTAGTCCCAGCTTCCAGGGAGGCTGAGGCAGGAGAATTGCTTGAGCCCAGGAGGTGGATATTGCAGTGAATCGAGATCGCATCATTGCACTCCAGCCTAGGTGACAGAGTGAGACCCTGTCTCAAAAAAAAAAAGAAAAAGAAAAAAAATAAAAAGGCCAGGAGCAGTGGCTCACACCTGTAATCCCAGCAGTTTGGGAGGCCGAGGCAATGGATCACTTGAGGTCAGGAGTTCAAGACCAGCCTGACCAACATGGTGAAACTCCATCTCTACAAAAAATTAAAAAAAATTAGCTGGGCATGGTGGCAGGTTCCTATAATCCCAGCTACTCGGGAGGCTGAAGCAGGAGAATCGCTTGAACCCAGGAGGAAGAGGTTGCAGTGAGCCAAGATCCTGCCATTGCACTCCAGCCTGGGCAACAAGAGCGAAACTCATCTCAAAATAAAATAAAATAAAATAAAAACCATGGAATATCTCTCTATTTGGTTCTTTGATTCATTAGAATTTTCTAGTTTTCCTCATATAGATCTTGTGCATATTTTGTTATATTTTATATCTAAGTATTTCATTTTTAGGGGTGCTGTGCTAATGTAAATGGTATTTTTAATTTTAAATTCCATTTATTCATTACTAGTATAAAGGAAAGTGATAAACTCGTTTATTAATTTGTATCCTGTAACCTTGCTATATAATTATTCATTTCAGTTTTTCTGTCAGTTCGTTTGCATTTTCTACATAGATGATCATGTATTCTGCAAATAAAGACATTTTTATTTATTCCTTCCCAGTGTACATTTTATTTCTTTTTCTTGTCCTACTGGATTAGGTAGGACTTCTAGTATGATGTTGAATCAGAACGGTGAGAGAGGACTTTTTGCTTTGTTTCTGATCTTAGTGAGAAACCTTCTAATTTGTCACCGTTAAGTATTGTGTTAGGTTTTAGAGTTTTTTGTAGATACTCTTTATGCAGTTGAGGAAGTTCCCCTCCATTCCTAGTTTACTGAAAGCACCATTAATTTTAAGGAGGTAGATTCTTATTTGACAAAACAATAAGAGTATATTGAACCAGAAGCAGATTTGTGAAGTTACTTTGCTTCTTTCTTTGCACCAAGTCAAACCATTTATTTCTTTTTTATATATATGCTACAGATTGTAAGTAGAAATATCCTCATTTTAATTATATCCATGAAAGCCCCTGCTTTAGGTTTGTCTATGCTCTAGTTTGCTGACCCAAATTAACTTTGTTTTATATACACCTAAGTACATATACTATTTAAATCTTGTGTCTAACCTAATTTGAATAAATTTGCTTTGTCTGCTTTCTTATCTAAGTGAAGCTATAGAAAACTTGATTTCAAACCACATATGATTCAGTTATACATATTAATGGCACAGCATAAATGGTAGATAATTTCAAAAGTAATGATTTCAGTTTTTAAAATTATTTTTTTAAATGGGCATATCTGATATTTCAGAGAATCACTTCATACAAAGTGATGGAAGCCCGGTATGAAGACCTGAGTTTGGAAGAATCATGAAGTTGTTTGAGCTCCTGTTTTGTCCTTTTGCCTGTCTTTCCCTCATTCCTGCTAGCAATTGATAGTATCTTTTCTCAGATTGATGCAGAGTTGCCAGAGATGAGATGATCTTTCTTTAGGTTTTCTGGCTGTCCGATCTTCCCTTTCTAGAAATTAGAGAAGCTAAGTATTTTGGCTTCAAGTACTTTCCTTTCTAGGTCTGAGAATATATGTCTGTTCATAATTAACCCAAGGCAAGAACTGTCCAGAGAAAGAACATGAGTGGAATATATATGCTTATATGTATGGGTTCCCCAGGAATTATTTGAACTGTCCCTTCTCCAGTTCTGTGAGTCCATTGAGGGCTAAGCCTACCTCTGCTAACATCGCTATCAGTAACAACAGCAGTGTTTTACCTCTATCTTTATTTGTTAGTTATATAGCTCCCTGTCTAGGTTGGCTTGGAGTGCTGGTTCCAGCTTGTCTCTTCCATGGAGATTTCCCCTATTGTCCAAGGGCCTGGAGAGCTTTTCTTCCTCCAACGTCTCTGACACTGTAGTCAGTCTGGTCACTGCTAGAGCAGTGGTCTGCTGTCAAGTTTCTTGAACAGACAAAATTCTGTTTTCTGTTTTAGTATGTATGCTGGCAAGGTGTTGTGTTTTTTTTTTTTTTTTTTTTAAACTGGCAGAATCAACCAGGTGTGGCAAAAATTTTAATCATTTAGAGACATGTGTGCCATGTTTTCCCATCATGCTTTTAGATCTTAGCATCATTTTAATGTCTTTGCTTGTCTCACTGTGCTTTCTTTCATAGCCCATGTGTTTACACTGAAAATGTTTTATCTTTTTAAAAACAATCACCTTATAATAATAAATGGCTCAGAGGAGCAATTAGAATGTTAACCTCTCTCTTGGTTGGCACGGTCACCAAATGGCTGGAAAGTATTTAGTGCTCATGTTTATATGTGCTTCCAAGTTCTGCTTGCTTTAGAAATCTTTACATTTTCATAATGCACTGGCAGGTTTATAGTTATCTTCAATACATAATTATAAACAAAAATTATTGACATTACTGGCACACACTCTTGCAATACAAAAAATTACAGTTTTACATTAATTGTTCTGAAAATGTAGGGTGACTTTTTACATGCAAGCAAAAGTTTGGAAACCAATTACATTGTAGTAAGGAATTAGTATACTGTTTATTTGGCTTATGTGGCAATCTTGTATTATATTATAGTGTAGTTCTAATCTTTAGACAAGGATTTTACCTTTTTGTAGCTATAGTACTGTACAAACAGCAGGAGCGTGGTACTTGTTGAGATGTAGGTGAGAAACTATAGTTCCAGGCTCCTTAAGGGTAGAGATGTGATGTTTACTGTTCTTACCCAGTGGCTGGCACAATATAGGCATTGAATATATGTTGACTGAATATGAGGAAAAACAAGTATTATTAACATTAGCTCATTTTGGTAAGCCTAGCCTAATACTTAATATTTCTCATAATATTCTAATTGGTCTTATTGTCTACTTATTGCCAGAAGTTAAAGTGCATTTTGCTAATCAGTCAATAGAACCTTTGGGAAGAAAAGTGGAAAGGTCTGAAACTTCCTCCCTGCCACAAAAAGGCCTGAAGATTCCTGGCTTAGAGCATGCGAGCATTGAAGGACCAATAGCAGTAAGTAAAAGACATCACTTTTAAGAACTATAAGCAAAATGACAAGGAAATCAAACTTCGAATTGAATCAGTCAGTGGGCATCTGTGCTACTTAATAAATGGACTTGAATTTAGATAGCTCCTTTTCTTACTTGACCCAGAGTTTATCAGTACTTGGAACAGAAGAACTTCGGCAACGAGAACACTATCTCAAGCAGAAGAGAGATAAGTTGATGTCCATGAGAAAGGATATGAGGACTAAGCAGATACAAAATACGGAGCAGAAAGGAAAACCCACTGGGGAGGTAGAGGTATGGCTAGCCTTAATATGTCAAGATTTACAAATTGGTAGTGGAACTCTCAAAATCAGAATATGTGCAAGAAAGCCTCTAGTAAATTTTGCTTGCAGACCCATTCCTATTAACCACCTCCTAGTGCAGTAGCTGCTAAGTCTTTTCTAGGAAGTGAAATTGTTGTGATAAGGATTTTTTGAGGCAGAAAATAAGAGCGGTGTCATTATACATTTTTTTCTTATGCTGTTTCTTTACTTGCTCTTCTTTGTGGTCTGTTTCACCTGAGCATTCTGAAATGTTTTATCATAGAGCAGCATTAGTACCCTAGCCCCCACTTCCAAGAGGGCTTCTCCAAGAAGAGACTTTATGAAGAATAGATTTAGGAAACCTAGTCTATGTCTGTCTCTCCCTCCACCCCACAAGAAAGTGCCCCTGATTTTCGTTCATTTCAGGCAGTATGTTGGGAATTTTAGACAAATGATCCTATTTCATACTGTAGCCAATTTTTTCTTTTTTTCAGGAAACGACAGAGAAAGCAGAAATGACAGCAGAGGAGAAGCAAACATTACTAAAGAGGAGACTGCTTGCAGAGAAACTCAAAGAAGAAGTTATTAATAAGTAATAATTAAGAACAATTTAACAAAATGGAAGTTCAAATTGTCTTAAAAATAAATTATTTAGTCCTTCCACCGAGGTTTTTAGTTTCAAACACTTTTGTAAATCCAAATATCTTATTAAACACTTTAGGTAAAGGACAGTAGGGAAGGCAGCTACTCATACTGATTAGTTTAATACAAATTCCTGAATGTTTTCCCTTGGAAAGAGGGTATAGAAAGAAACCAGTTGATAGTATGTTCATTCATTCAAACTCGGTTACCTACTGTTTGTGCCAGACATTGTGCTAAGCGCTAAGGATACAGTAGTCCACGAGACTGACAGGGTCATTGCCTTCATGCGGCTAGTGGAGAAGGCCCAAAGACCAAACTGTTAGAAAGGCAAAGTGTAAAGTCCTATGAGCAGGGCTGGCTAAGCCTCTTTAAGCTGAATGGAAGGTTAATTACACAAAGAATAGGTAAGGAACAACTCAGGTTCTGCAGCAGGAAATAAAGCATATACTGAAAACTTGGAATATACATATGAGTGGAGAGGGTTAGCATATGAAATTGGAGACAGGTGGAGTACTGATAGTGCAGTCTTGTAGGGAATGTGAGGATTTAATTTTTTTTTTTTTTTTTTTTTTTTTTAGAGACAGGATCTTGCTTTGCTGCCCAGGCTGGAGGTAGCACAATCCCAGCTGTGGATTTTAAATTTTGTAATACCAGCAGTGTCAAGTCATTGAAAAATTTTAATGCAAGGGCTGGGCATGGTGGCTGACACTGTAATCCCAGCACTTTGGGAGGCCGAGGTGGACAGACTGCTTGAACCCAGGAGTTTGAGACCAGCCTGGGCAACACGGCAAAACTCCATCTCTACTAAAAATACAAAAAAATTAGCTAGGCATGGTGGCACACACCTGTAGTCCCAGTTACCTGGGAGGCTTAGGTGGTAGGATCACCAGAGCCCTGGAGGTCAAGGCTGCAGTGAGCTATGATCACAGCACTCCACTCCAGCCTGGATGACACAGTGAGACCCTGTCTCAAAAAATAAATAAATAAAAATAAATAAAGCATGGAAGTTACATGATCACATTTTTATTACTGTATGGCAACTAGTGCATGAGGTAAAGTAGTTGTGGGTGTACCATGTATGAGACAGTCCAATCAAGGGTATAGATACCCTGGGCAATGGTAAGGTAGATTTTACATTTATCATTTACACCTATATAAGGCAGGAGCAAACAGGACTTGGAAAATAGATGTGCGGGATGTAAAAAATAATTACTCTTTCTAGACAAACTATTACTAAAACACAGGCAAAGGGAATAATTGATTGAGCCTGTTGAAGGAGATGCCACCATTGGGTGTTGGTGTTTAAGAGAAGTGACCCTAGGATAGTTTTCTGTAGTCTATTTAAAGATAAACACAATAATAGGAGACCTTTCTTTCAGAAACTTCCAGGCCGGGTGTGGTGGCTCATGCCTGTAATCCCAACATTTTGGGAGGCTGAGCGGGGGCGGATCACTTGAGATCAGGAGTTCAAGACCAGCCTGACCAACATGGTGAAACCCCATCTCTACTAAAATACAAAAATTAGCTGGGTGTGGTGGTGCGTGCCTGTAATGTGCCAGCTACTCTGGAGGCTGAGGCAGGAGACTCGCTTGAACCTGGGAGATGGAAGTTGCAGTGAGATCACGCCACTGCACTCCAGCCTGGGCAACAACAGAGCAACACTCCATCTCCAAAAAAAAAAAAAAAATTTCCAATCTTGTAATATCCCATGTCCACCCTTTTCTAAGTACAGGATACTCCTGAGATTTAACTTATAATCACATTTTATCTCCTTAAGTCTACGATTATAAGCTTTTAAAAAAGGATACCAAAATTAGTGTAACAAGAATTACTCAGTTTCAGTTACACAATTCCAACCTTCAACCTGCAGAAAAACCAGTATTTACGTTTGTTGTATTTTCATCACTAGAGGGATAAGAGGAAATGCTAAGTGATTAAAACACAGAAATCTGTTTCATGTAACTTTTTATTAAAAATAGTTTTTATATTGGATACATGTTTACAGATACCATTTTAAGAGGACCTAAGGCATACAAATGTGGGCTCTTGGCTTGCTTCACTGAGTAAAGATAAAGATACAAAAATCCAGATCTGTCTGAGGGTAGTCATTTAAAGACAGCTGCTAACATGGAATTCTCACAATTGTTCTTTTAAGGGATATTTTAAGCCTTATTCTCTTATCGTCGTAGGTAAGCACTTGTACCATGAAAACTGTAACCTGTACTTCAGGAAAACATTCACATTTCTGCTACGAGAAAAAGTTCAGATGATGATGTAAATGTTTAAGACTTATGGCAGCTCTTCAGAAAGAAAAAGGAAGTCTTCATAAGATACAGAGACAGGGAGGCTGAGGCAGGTGGATCGCAAGGTCAGGAGTTCAAGACCAGCCTGGCCAAAATGGTGAAACCCCGTCTCTACTGAAAATACAAAAATTAGCCTGGCATGGTGATGGGCACCTGTAATCCCAGCTACTTGGGAGGCTGAGGCAGAGAATTGCTTGAACCCAGGTGGCAGAGGTTGCAATGAGCTGAAATCGTGCCACTGCACTCCAGCCTGGGCAATGGAGCGAGACTACATCTCAAAAAAAAAAAAAAAAGAAAAATAGTACTTCCTACTAGGACTTAAAGTTACTTAAGAGGAGTCAAGAGTAATGAGGAGGGCTGGACACGGTGGCTCATACCTGTAATCCCAGCACTTTTGGAGGCCGAAGCAGGCGGATCACTTGAGGTCAGGAGTTCAAGACCAGCCTGGCCAACATAGCGAAACCCTGTCTCTACTAAAAATTAGCTGGGTGTGGTGATGGGTGCCTGTACTCCCAGCTACTCAGGAGGCCGAGGCAGGAGAATCAATAGAACCCAAAGGTGGAGGTTGCAGTGAGCTAAGATTGCGCCACTGCACTCCAGCCTGGGCAACAGAGCGAGATTCAAACAAACAAACAAACAAACAAACAAAAAGTAACTAGGAAACTGTTTTACATGTGGGCTTATTATAAGAAGAAATTTAATAAAAGCTGAGAGATGGGTCTGGATAAAACTTGCTGATTCAAAGAAAGTGGATGGGAACTTTACTGATCTTGGTTTAAAATATCCTGAGTCACCTGCCTTATGAGGTGGAAGGTCTTTCTTTCTTATTATATGTACACCTTTAACTGAAGAGGTGAGAAAAGCTCCATACCATGATGCTTTGATTTCCCCAAGGCTTACCTTCTATAAGTAGTCAGTGATAAAGTGCCGTTGACCCGCATGTGTTTAGAATTATTTCATTAAAACTGGGGTATGACCTAGCAGTTTATAATAAATATTTATGTATAATTTTATTGCCTTTTAAAAGATACCGTAAAATTGACATATCTCAAAATGGAGTTAATTTATATTTACAACAAACCAAACACAAACATCAATTATGGAATTACAGGGTCACATTTTAATTCCTGAATTTTACAGTTTAGCATTAATATCACCACATGTATACAAATGGTGTAAAACAAGTACAGTGGTATTTTTAATACAAAATAAACATCTGTTTTATGGAAAAACTATACTTCATATCTACACAGACAGCTCATCTTTTCCAAACAATAGCCAAAATTAAAATTAACTACAAAATCTCCAAAACAGGGGAAACTGCTTCAGATTAAACTATTCCAGGAAAAATGGACCCATAACACATTACAAGGGTGATCTAAAGATTGTGGCTGGAATTACTATTAAAAATTTTTTTTTCCCAATGCATTAAATTGTATTTTGGGGACATTTTTCTCACTTCGGCATGATCTCAGATCATAGATGAGCAAACTAACATTAAAATATGTACAGTTAACTTGTTGCTCTAAAAATAAAACGTAACTGTTTGCCTCAATTTAATTTTAAAATTCACTTACGTACATGGAATGTGCTTTTACTCTTCTTAAAAAAGCAGCTTTCATATCACACCCTTGTTTACAGAAAAGCTACATGTGCTGTATGCTGACTTTCACAAGTTGCTTCTTGGATCAAAATGGCTTCTAGATACTAAATGCCACTTAATTCAGCACTATTCTTTGTTGGTCTGTATAAGTAACACTTTAAAACTTGCAGCTCTGGAAAGAGAGAGAACTTTACTAACAAAGCAAAAAGTGATTTCAAAGTATCTTCCACAAAAGATTGTACTGGTAGGTGGTTGAAAACATTCTGTTCTATCCACTTTCAAATTTCTAGAGAAAATCATTTTGGAATACTACTGTACTGATTCTTGGCCTTCATTGTCTCTAAAAGTGCTGATTTTAACATTATCTTAAAACTGTCCAGTTTGAATTGAGCTTGTTTTCATCAATATACATATTGAAAATTCCTGGTGTAGAAAATTCAACATGTGCTGAATATGGGGTGTACTTCCCTTCAACTACCTAAAAGGCTGAACTTTTGTTAAATCTTAAATAAATGGTCCCATCAGCTTAACTTCATTTTTTTAATGATAGTTGAATGTGTTTTCCATAAAAATTTCTTTTAAAAAGAGGCAACTGATTAAAACAACAACATGGCCAGCACCATTATACAAGTAATGTTATTGAGTTTACAACTGAAGTTCTATAAAATTGTTTTTAGATCAATACCCCGAGGAGCAACCCTGCATTATTATATCAACCTTTTCCCCTCCCCTAAACCATCCCAAAACCTGCGACTTTTCCTTGCTGAGAATCTGTCTCCCAGGTTCTGGTTACTAACGTTTGTTTTGACAGCCTAAAAGGCAAACCCCTTAATTACTAGCAAGCAATGAAGTTCCTGGGAAGCCTGTTTTTTTATTAGAACTAAACTCCCTTAGCTGATATATTGAGTGTCTTTTGCTACTCCTTGTATATTTTCTAAGTTCCATTGAGAAAGCTTTCTGATTCGGATTTACAGCTCATTGAACAGTTGCAGCATTTTAAGACCACATGTTGAGGGTCTCCTAATAAATATTTTATGAGCCAAGACGAGGTCTTTTCCTGGGGGATGTTTCTTCTTCTTCATCTTCCTCTTCATCATCTGGATAATCCACTAAGCCAACCAAACTTCCCTGTTGAAGAATTTAAAAAATTTTCTTTAAACATATATAACAAAAAAGAGTTTTTAGTACAAATCCAATCACTTGTAAAGATATCAGAAATCGTTTTTCTAAATCATATCAGAAATTAACACATTTGAATTTGATAAAGGAACTGCTTGAAATTACGAACATCTGAGTACTAATTGGTAGCACTTGCAGTAACCCTTAACTTTTCTATCTGGTTCTTGGATTATTAATGATACTTCAAAACTCAATTCTGCAAAATTTTACTGTGGGAAAATGCCTACTTTTCCAAATAGGGATAACAATGATAACATTTGGAAGCTGGAAAGGACATTGGAGATGCACTAGTGCATTTCTCTAATTTTATTACCACAAGAAATCCCTTTGTAGTCTTTGTTCATCTTGTGTATATTTCATCACTAAGTACACATCATTGTTTTCATTGTGCTTTTGAAGTATAGCTTAAATGGCTGAAGACAGACACATGAAATGATTCTTATAAAATAATAAGTAAAACATTCAGGGCTAGCTCTCTGACCAAAAGAAAAATAAGCATGAGGTAATTCATGGTCTTGGCCTTTGATGAGTAACAGACTTCTGTGAAAATCCTAGAAAAACTCTGGGTATTCTCCAGAAAATTATACATCCACAGCGTTTCATTCATTTTGAGTCAATCCCATGAAAACTTATGTCCTATAGGTTAAGAGGGCTTCTATAAACACTGTATTTAGTTCAAACCCTTCAGACCTCTAGGAGATAAACAAATACAACAGAAGTAACTCATTTTCCATATCTAAAGTACTGAGATACCTGGTTTTACCAGAATGTAACCAAATCACTATAATATTAACCAACCAAAAAAAGGCCCCTGGGCAGCTAGAAACAGTTATCAGAAAGACTTATATACCTGTCTGAGAATCTATTTCTCAACTTAATCACACACACATCTTAAGTCTGGATATGCAAGAAGCAACATGGCTAAATTGTTAAAAACAGGCTAACTGTAGGTCTGATGTCAAATTCTAATGACAGCACGTTTTATGTAAACAAACAAACAAAAAAAACTTTGGGGGCAGGTACAGTGGCTTATGCCTGTAATTCCAGCACTTTGGGAGGCTAAGGCAGACAGGTCACCTGAGAGATGATGAGTTCAAAATCAGCCTGGCCAACATGGTGAAACCCTATCTCTACTAAAAATAAAACATTAGCCCAGCGTGGTGCCAGGCACCTGTAGTCCCAGTGACTCGGGAGTCTGAGGGATGAGAATCTCTTGAACCCAGGAGGTGGAGATCATGCCACTGCATTCCAGCCTGGGCAACAGAGCAAGACTCCATCTCAAAAAAATAAAAAAATAAAACCGCAAACCCTTGGGCAAGTGGTTTAATATCTCTGCCTCAGTTTGTCTGTAAAATTGGTATAGTAGTATTTAGGCCTCAGTGAACTATTTTGAAAATTAAATTGATGGCCAGGCGCAGTGGCTCACGCATGTAATCCTAGCATTTTGGGAGGCCAGGGTGAGTGGATCACCTAACGTCACGAGTTCTAGTCCAGCCTGACCAACATGGTGAAACCCCGTCTCTACTAAAAATACAAAACTGAGCCAGGCGTGGTGGCGCATGCCTGTAATCCCAGCTGCTTCAGAAGCTGAGGCAGGAGACTCGCTTGAACCCGGGAGGTGGAGGTTTCAGTGAGCCAAGATGGTGCCACTGTACTCCAGCCTGGGCAATAAGAGCAAGACTCCGTCTCAAAACAACAACAACAACAATAAATAAATAAGTTGACAACAAAACATCTAAAGCACTTCAGCACAGTGCTTGGTATGTAGTTAGTGTTCAATAAGTGCTATTAGCTGCTATTACTACTATCATTTTTCTATTATTTTGTTTCTAAGCCAAATTGGAAAAGAGGAAAAACAAGAAATAATTCTTGTATAAAAAGGCACCAATCTGATAATCAAAACGATGACAGCAAAGTTGCAAAGTTTTAATTATGCTTAGTATTACATATCATACTATATAAACATATGTATTCCAAATGGTTAATACTTGTTTTTGCCCAAG